AAATGAAAAGCCAAACAGGACGTGAAATGGAAAGTGAAACAGGACGTGAAATGGAAAGTGAAACAGGACGTGAAATGGAAAGTGAAACAGGACGTGAAATGGAAAGTCAAACAGGACGTGAAATGGAAAGTGAAATAGGACGTGAAGTGGAAAGTGAAACAGGACGTGAAATGTGCGTTGAAGAAAGTAAGGAAGAACATGACGTATTGATGATAGAGGATAGTCAGGAAAATGAACTTTCTAGTAGTGTTAGCGTTCAACCTTCTGTAGTGACAAATGTTGAAACAAAGGTTAAAGTAAAACGGTATAGAGAAATAAGAAAGAAATTAGATATGAATAAGATCACCTTTGATGCTAGTAGCTGTTGTGCAAATGAGGAGAAAGCAGAAATGTTACAGTGTTGGGAGAGTCTGTCTGAGAAAATCTCGTATCTCATGGAATGTGACAGACAGGGCAAAGGTAGTTTTATTAAATCATGGATGAAAGTAGAGTGAGAATATTATCTTGGAGCGTTAATGGGTTAAAATCTAGTGCGGTGGATGTACACTATTATACTCTTAGATAGTACTATATTAACCTGATATGTTACATGGGATTCTTGTATTTGTACTCACTGAATTTGTGCGCCCCTTTGAGGGACTTGAAGTATGGGAAGGGGTAGAAATAGCCTAAGCTAATCTTTGAGTTTTTTTTTTTTTTTTTTTTTTTTTTTTGAGTTTTTTTTTTTAACTTGTCTCAATAAACCTACTTGAACTTGGAAGACCATTATGTATTAAAGTGTCAAATTATGGATAACCATAGAAATAAGGAAATAAGTAGTGTACCACTTCAAATTGTTTGGATGTGTGATAATGATATGATAGACAGAATACTTAGGAACTACAAGAATTTTGCCCCAATGATTGTAACACTTACTATATTAATATGCAATGTTAAATGTTGTATTGTGATTTGTGTATCTGTACTCACTGAATTTGTGCGCCCCTTGAGGGACTTGAAGTAGAGGGGGGTAGAAATAGCCTAAGCTACTCTATCCCTTTGAGATGTATTTTTTTCTTGTCTCAATAAACATACTTGAACTTGAACTTGAATCTCAAAAAAAAAAAAAAAAAAAAAAAAAAAAAAATCCAACAAGGTTACCCTTAAACTTCTTTATAGAAAACGGTATTGTGACCGCTATCATATTCGTCTCGTTTTCGATTACATTATGAACGAATTATCCTTTTTTTTTGCCTAATGCTTCATTCTTATACATATATGCAAACGTCCAATTTCCTCCTCTCCGTTATTTACTGCCGTAGTTTTATCGTTAAAGGCTTAAAGGCCAGCAGCAACGGAAGAATTGTTATAATTTCGCTTGCGAGACATGATCTGGGTGTTGCTGGAACGTGTATGTATTTTTTTGTTTTGCTCGCTTAGCTGTGTTTGTAGGGAGCGAGATTTAGCTCTTGGGTCACGCCTCACAGCTATTGTACCTGGTGTATTCGTAATTTTCGATGTCTTATTGCTTTGTCGTACTTGTTGTTGAAACTGTGAAATACGATGCATGGTTTTCACTGTGAGGACCAAGGCGCGTGGTCTTCGTTCTTCCCTAAACACCACTGTTGCTGCAACCCGTCCTCAGACCAAGTCCATTCCATCCAGCGGTCGACCCTAAAGACGCATTCATCAATTTTAACATGCTGCTCATTCAAAATAGGAATTTTCTCATATATAAATTAATATTGTTAAATATTAGCATACCGTACATATTTAGGTACTGGTTAGGTTAGGTTAGGTGTTTAGGTTCTGTTGGTTATTATTTGTATTTGTAGTACGTGGGTGAAGCATTTACAGTGGTGTGGTTTGAACTAAAGTCGCCAGTGAAGCACTTGTTCCGGAAGTGTTCGGACGTATTCAGCTGTGAGTCGCGTGTAAACCGTTTTTCATTCATAAACAGTGGGTTTGGCGGGTGCATGGAATGGACTTTGGGTCTTTGTTTAGAGGACGGGCTGGAATTGTGAGCGCTGCGCCCCTCATTTAGACTCGTACCATTGACTGAAACCATTGAGGATTCGTTTCGTCTGACGTGGCAAAGATTACATCTGGCAGCAGCTGGCAGAGGTCGGGAAAGCGTCGTAGGACTAACTTCAGGTAAGAATGTGTGTTTAGTTGGCCAGGGAGGCCAATGCTCGCACGTAGGATTAGGAACATGGGTTTTCTTCAATTCGAAAGACCTTGGGACAGGTAAGCAGCGGGTGGAATGCACGGGCGAAGATGCAGAAAACTTGAGCAGGGAACAAGATATTAGTCGGAGGTGGGAGTTACAGCTCGGTGGCTCAATCACCTTGGGTTTTGACTTGCAGTGGTACTGCATGGCGTTCTTCATTGTTCTTTTGCATTTCAGGGCGTCGCACAGGGGTTCGGATTTCAGGCAGCTGGCAGTGGATGTTGTTTCTCAGGGCTTCATTCGTCGGTCTTCTGGCTTCAGAGCTCGTTTTACTTCTGTCTTTTGGTGTTTTCCGTCACGTTTAGATCGGCGGCTTTCTTGATAGTCTTATTTCTAATAGATATAGCATTGTTGTCGGTCAAAGTCGTGTGTGTGACCTCCAGGAGGAAGTCTGCAGATCTAAAGTTGCACTTCTGTCTAGGAAAGGGGCTTGGGGATGGTGCTCCGACTGAGATTGCCTCATCTGATGAATCGGATGAGTCGAAAGCAGGAGTGGTGGAGGTGGTGGTCCTAAGAGGTTGAGTGGTGACAAGTCCTGCAGTTGAAGAAGTCGCAGCGGAACATGGGTATGTTTAGGAATTCTGCTTAGTGACTTACTAGTATAAAGTTAAATTTAGGAATTGTTCTGTGCAGATTAAAAATGTTATTGATATTAGCGCTTGGATTTGTCATAGGTTTTACTGAACAACTTTAATGCTCAATGAAATAATGTATATTTTAGTGATAAAGTGCACTATAAATAGGCATTTTCAGTGGGTACCTTTCAGTAAAGATTATCTTCTTTTTGTAACTATAGTAACGCTGGTATATTTGATATAGTTTAGTAAGTAGTTAAAGTTTGAATAGTACGATAGTGTTATGACAAGTTGAGTCGTAAGATGTTGATGTTAGTGGAGATGTGTTTGGAAAGACAGTGTTGTGGTAAGAGAACACTTGCTGCTGCTACCTGGTGTGTGACTGCCGATGCTGATTCTGAAAAATTAATTGACGGGGTAACTTGCATGGTAACTAGTTGGATACCCAGGCGATGAGTCACAATAACGTGGCTGAAGTATGTTGACAATCGACTTGAGAATGGTCCAGGACGGACCGAAACGTCGTCGTCCCTTCAATTTCTAGTGTGTGGTCTGGTCAACATAGTTGGATACCATTAGTATTTCGCGGAATCCTTGGAACAATATTGCAATGTTATTGGTATGTGGGATTTCTGTAAATTGAATTTTTTGGGATAATTTAATTATCTACTATACATTATTTCTAATGTGGGTGCTGCACTATAATTGTTCTCAGTTAGGTTTTTCTAGCGTAATGACATTATAGTTAAGAGGTGTCAATAGCTTGAACAACTGACACGAATCTCAGGGCAGAAGTCCGGAAGTTAGCTTCCTTTATTTTGAGACTACCTTAACACCCACCACTCCTCGTGTGACACAACCCCCCTCCCCCTCGTCCTGGTCCCACTCCTCGTATAACATCCCCCACCCCCCTCTCGTGCTGGTCCCACGCCTTTTGTGACATCCCCTTTTCGTCCTGGTCCCACTCCTTGTGACATCCCCCTCTCGTCCTGGTCCTCTCCTTGTGTGACATCCCCCCCTCGTCCTGGTCCACCTATGAAAATCATCACCAATACGGCAACACCACCACCAACACAAAGTAAACGACAAGAATGTCCTCCTTGTCAAAAGCGCAAAAGAAGTGATTGAAGCTTCAGAGAGTTTATTAAACTCTGCCGGAAAATTTGCAAAGTTACTCGACCAGAAAAAGTCAAACGTGTGGAGTAGTGAGGTAAATGTGGAGGGGGGTTATAGATGGGGTGGTGATTTGAGGGGGTATATATGGTGAGGTGAAGATGGGGAAGTTATAGATGGGGTTTTGGAATTAGAGATAGGGTGGTGAGGTGAAGGTGGGAGGTACAGATAAGCCCTATCAGGTAGTTAAACTGTAGCTTATTTTTCACTTACCGTACAGTATTAATATTAAGTTTGGGTCTTAGACTCTGTGCTGCTTGCATCACAGTACATTTCCTTTCTCTAAAACAACCTTAAACCTCATTGTATTTTATTGTACTTTGTTTAATTTTCTCTATGTAAGGCTTGAAGAGTGGAAAATAAGTTACATAAATCATACTAATGCTTAGCACTCCAATACTGTTATATTCAGCACTGCTTCAACAGTTTTATTATTTGATGTTAAGGCACTTAATCAAAAGGCCTTTTCTTTTTTACCATATTTGTATTAATTTAGTGCTAAATTAGCTTGATAAATTTCATGTTAGCCAAATTGGCATGACACAAATTGAACATATGGAAGGAAAACCAAACTATCAGTCGGCCCTGGCTGGCTCCTCAGAGTTGGAGTTGGTTTGGTAGTTGACATCAAGGCACCTGGAGCCAAATTCACCCAGAAGTTACACAGATACTAAAAAACCCACACATCTTCTCAATCTTTGGTGGCATTGTTTACATTTTTTTTTTTAAATAGTTTACGAGCTTCTCAATCAAATGGTATTGTTATAGACAACCTCCTAGTGTTTCAGAGCTCATAAACTGTTTGTTAACATTTATTAAAGACCCCAAAGCTTGAGAAAAGCTGTACAGGTTTGTAAGTACTTGTGTAGCTGCTTGATTAATCTGGCCCATTCTGTACCTTCAGTTTTCCCGTTGTGAAAACAGCCATAAATCAAAGGTGTAATTCTCAAAAAAATATTTACTAATACTCGGTGCTTGCATTTTAAAACAGCATAGGGCACCAAGTGCTTAATTCACATTTAATTTTATAATGAAAGGCCATCTGGTTTTTGTGATCAAATGATTTTTTTATTGACAAAAACATTGGTTACACAGAAGCTTGACGGCAACGGAAAGATTCAATATGACTATTCAAGCTTGTCTGGATTATAAGGCCACAGTGCACACGTCTCGCCAAATTTCAGCATTACACGACAATCAATACCCTTAAACACCTGAATACATAAAAAAATATACATGTACTTTATACATTTTAATCTACAAAAAATACAGTACAGGTACCTTAGCTGCATTATTAATCCAAAAACCAAACTTCACATGGGTAGCTTTAAAAGAATTCATGTTCAATACACAAAATTTATATCCTTCATGTAAATTATAAATCTACAAATAAAGCAAGACCAAGAGCTGTAGTTCAACCCATACAAGCACAATCTGGAGTGTGTTGAGCAGAAGGATGCAAGATGGGAAGGGGCTAGGGTGGGTGAGGTTAGGAAAAAGCACTAAGCCTTTACAACTATACAGTGGCACCTCGACTTACGATTGCCTCAAATTATGATAATTTTGAGTTACGATACAAATTTGATCGAAAAATGCGACTCGACTTAAGATAGTGTCGTCGACTAATGATATTTGTTGATACACATTTGGGTTGACTGAACGCATGGTTCCCGGTCGCGCGGGTCGACCTGCCTCGGTTTACTAGAGCCGCCCGCTTAGTGACGATCATGCTTATAAGAAATTACATTTTTATGGTGAATTTTTCCTTTTTGACCATAAAACTGATTATTATATATCATGCAATGGGTCCCAAGAAAGTCAGAGGTAAAGTTCAACCTAAAAAAATAAATGTGAGGATGATGATAAAGGGAAAACAAGAGATCATTCATAGTGAGGCAGTGATGTCTCGCTTCAGAAAAGTGTTACAACGAAGGGAAAAATTGTCGTTAAGACAGGTTTTAGCGAGAAAAACAAGCAGGTCCTAGTGGTATGCAGGCAAAATGTAGGTGTGTGTGTATCCAAGAGAAATCACTGCCTGATGTTATAATGAAAGGGGTACTCCCCTTCCAAACAGTATCACCACTCCTCCTCCCCCCCCCCCATCACCATCTTCCATAAGCCTTCAAGAGTCCTCCATAAAGGTTAGATAAACATATGTACCTGTACTGTTTTGTAGTTAGAAAAAAAAATTGTATTCAGTATAAAATGTATTTTGTAAGTTAATATTTTTGGGGGGCGTGGAATGGATTAACTCAATTTCCTTTATTTCTTATGGGAAAAATCGTTTCAACTTACGATACGTCTCTGGGAACGGATTACCATCGTAAATCGAGGCTCCACTGTATATTACTTGGAAGGGATAAGAATAGGATGAAGCAAAGGAATAGTGCCCAACGACTTGGAAAGTTGGGGATTGAACGCCAACCTGCAGAAAGTGAGGTCATCTCTCTTCTGTCCAGTCCAGGTAATTGGGTGGGTGAAGTTAGGTGTTAATGGGAAAAGGTGTGGATTGGTCAGAATTGAAGGGCAGTAGTCTGCAAGAAAGTGGGCAGGTAGGGCAAGAATGGGTTACAGTAGGGATGGGCTAAGTGGAGATTGGTTGGGGAGGCGGGAATGGACTGGAGCAGAAGTGTTGGGGTTTGGCACTTTGGCTCTGCCTCTAAAATTGTAATCAAATGGAGTATGGATTTTTTGAGCTCAATGGGCTGTGCCATATCTGCACTTGAAGCTGAGGTATGGTGTCTGCCTCAACCACCTCACTTTTTAGTATACACCATTTGTTCACTTCTTTCACAATCCCTCATAGGATGACAGCATGCTCATCCTATACTTCATGAGTAATACTGACCTGGGTTCAGCAGTGTAAAGAACACACAACTGGTCACTGGTCCTTACCAGGTCCCCTTGGGTGACTGGTTAAGCCAATTGTAGTCCCCCAGGGAAAACTGGTTCAGTAAGGCTTAAGATATGTTGTGGAAGGGAGAGTTCTAAGCCTGTTAACAGGAGTCAGAAATCATCTGCTATACCCACCTGTGAAAAAATAAAAGCATAGGAGATATTGGTTGAAATTTTACCAGTACACCAAAATAAAACAGATACATATACATCGATACACCCTATTTATCAGCGTTTTATATAATTTAGAATATTATAATAAACAAAGGAGCACATTCAAATTGAAAATAAAATCTGAATCTTTGGAAATGTAAAGCAGGACTACTTGTGTGTCAAATGATGCCAATAAGCACTAAGAAGAGAGTAGACTTTAGGATAAAACCTTATAGGCAAAACATAATGCATTCAAATCTACCTTCTTCTTTGTGTTTTATCTACATTGTTGTTAGCACTTTGTGCTCTTCACTACCATCATTTGACATAAATACAAATTCAGCATGTCTAAATTGTTCCCAGATTTAGACATTTGTATGTCTAAATTGCTCACCCAACCCTACACCTGTGTGATGGCTGAAAATATAATCATATGTGAGAGGATAGGTTATTATCCATGTGAGGGGAGGCCTTGTGTATAACCATCCTTAAGGAGGTTACTTCATGTGTAATCATCTTTGTCTGAGGCCTCAAGTATAATCATTCTTGAGGGGTTAGCCTCTTGTATAATCATCCTTGAAGAGCTTGCCTCCTATATGATCATCATTAATGGGAGTGCCTTGTGTATAATCATCCGTGATGGGAGGGGTCTCGGGTATAATCACATGCCAACTCTTTTAACTCCTAAGGCGCTGCTATGATCAAAGGCACCTCTGGCTGTGGGCAAAAAAATATAAAAAAAATCATAATTTGTTCTAATAAAATTAGGATATACAGGTGCATAAAAAAAAATGTATTTCGTGGACACAGGTACAATTTCTAGGTTAGGAAGGTCATTTAACTTGTGGGCTTTGGTGATGAATACATTTGCTGAAAAGCCAAGTAATAGCTATATATGATGATCGTATTACGTTTATATGTTTGCTGTATCAGTTAAGTTTACAAAATGTGTGTAATGACTCTATCACTTTCCTGCCAATTATGTGCAAATTAATTAAGTATTGTATATATGTCCCTACAATATAATATGAACACCTATATTGAATGCTTATCTGTTTCTGCCACAGCTCAAATTAAGTGTCTTGAAACCTGCATGTTTGCTTCTATCATGTTTCGTAATGTCATCTAAAAAAAAAAATTAAAATACAGACAGGAAACCCCAAAATATGATTCGATGATAAATGCCTTGCTGGTAATCTCATCTATTATATTAAGAATTGTTGGAGATTTATTCAATAGGTCAAAGTTGAATACAACATCCATATAGATGTGATAAATTTGGTTATAAGTCATTTATTGTATTTAGAAATCGCCCAGTTTTTATATAAATCAACATACGAAAACCACATTACTCTTGGAATAAAGTATGACAATAACTGCCCTCTAAGGGCAGTTAATCCTGTGTTCTTGATTTTTCAGTGAACTTTTCACAACACCTGCTTTAGAATTCAAAATAAATAGGCCACACTATAATAGAATTTTTTTTTCTCAACATTGGAAATAAACATTTTACGACAAAAATTGTAACACGTACCTACTATATAAATTAACTAGATTTTCAAATTAATGTTCAAGCCCCAAGCAGACTTAAATATAAAGTGTTCACTCAGTAAAGCAAATCACATTTAAATATAGTGGTTTTTAGTTGTGTTCGGTATTTTTTAATTGTTTAACATAACACATACCGGTACTTGAAAATATATACAGTTTACTCTCCTAATTATTAAACAATGGTACAGTATGTACAGTCTATAAAAATAAATTATTACTATATATATATACAATAGGAGGGAGTAAGCTGTGATCTATCTCATTTTGTGACAAAGTTACCAAGGCTTTGTGCTACACAAGTGTTTACATTACGTATTACTGTTTAATTAAAGCAAAATCATGTGTACCCTGCCATGGATTTCTACATACAGTATTAAATCAAATTAATAACTAAAGTAATGAAAATCCGTTACAAGTAATTCCAATTCTCAAAGTTACATCCTCGGATGTGTGTTAATCGTTATTATAATTATTATTGAAGGTGAAGAAAAGACCCAATACATGAGTAAGTGCCTTATTAAAGCAAATTTTTGTATAAACTTACATCCTTTATCAAGGTGCTGTAAATAATATTCTGTTCTACAGAACAGTAAGATTCTACAGTAAGTGCTATTTATGTCTGGCAGAAAGCTTCAAGTGGCGTCCATCATTAGACGACACTTGAGACGCTTTGCCAGACATATAATGCAAGCACATTGAATCTTTGTACATAACATTGTTTATAGCACCTTGATAGAGGATGCAGGTTCATCCAAAGATCTGGTTTAATAGTTACAGGTGTGTAGGTAGAGGGTCTTTTCTTCTCCCTTCATTAACTAATACTTTAGAATAACCAACACTTTGTAATAATATCTTATAATACTATACATGGGAAGACATTTGTGAGAAATGCTTCAATGTGGGCAGAATGCATTTTAGTTATGAACATTGAACTAATTCTAAACATAAAAGCCTTTATTAATGTACTTTTGTGGTTAACCCTTAAACTGCGCATGGCGTATATATACGCCCTGAGTAACATGTCCCATGGTGCGCATGGCGTATATATACGCCATAGGGTGCCAGGCCTGATTCAAATGGCCCGCGGCTACACGGGGTTCACAGTAGCTTCCTCAGGGCTCTTGTAAACAGATGCCATTTAAAAAAAAAATCGTGGGCAATATTCTCAGGTGTGAGAGGCACAGTACTGTTGGAGCAACCGAGGCCGGCGCACGCAGCATGAGCGAACAGCATTGATGTTCAGCTTGTGACCACAGCATCGCCGAAAAATGTCAAAATAAATATATAATTGTTATTATTTAGCGATGACAATATTACAGATGACCAATGACTGTGATATAAATAACCAGGGTTGTGATAATAGCAGGATTGTTGTAATAATTAGCGTTGTGTGAGGAGTGATGCTGAGAGACGGAGGGAGACAGCATCGTTTACTGACTGTGTGGCCACCTGTTATTGTTTGCGTTCACCATACCAGGTCAGTGGTTCTCTATGGTGAACACAAATGTAGATACTTATATATAATGTGTGTATTAGTGTAATAACAGCAAAAGGATTATGCTGGGAGGAGCCATATGGGTGACGGAGGTGACGTCGTCTGCACGATTTCTCTAGCTGTTTAGAGGGTGGCCACTATGCTCTTTGGGCGCACTACAAGCTTAGGTGTACAGTTACGGTGCATAAAACATGTAGATATTTATATATAATATGTGTATAAAGGGTAATAACACTGCAAAAGGTATTGTTGGGGGAGAAAGTTTAGTGCGTCTGACTTTGAAAGAGTGAGGGAGCCGCCAGCCACCATCTGTGTATAGCGACGACTCTTAGTGCCTGAACTAACTATATCAGCTTAGCTGTACAGTTGTGGTGAACAAAATATACACATACTTATATATAACGTCTGTATATAGTGTAATAACACCACAACTGGTATTGTTGGGGGAGAAAGTTTAGTGCGTGTGTTGAGGGAGTGGCAGCGAGTGGCTGGCTGGTGTGTGGCGGTAACTCCTCGTTGCTTTTCGACTCTCAATACCAACTTCGTGGTTCGGTATGGTGACCAAAACATGCCAATACTTATATATAACCTGTGTATAGAGTGTAATAGCAGCAAAACTATTTGTTTATTGTTTTATAAACATAATAATTGAATCACTAATATGCACATCATACTTTTGAGTATAGCGATTATTAACCACTTTTATTATATAAATATATTACAATACACACTATTGAATAATATTACTGCAAAAAAACTAAGAAAAAATCAATCGGAGACATTGAAACAATTAGGTAATAATATCTTTGTGGCAACTCCCATCTGTCAACGCGGGTGAGGCTGACCGGGTCTGACGACCGCTCTGTCAACGCCCACTTTTTGCCAGATTTCCTCGTTCAATTGCGCCCAAAATATGTCACCTACGATTTTTTTTTTATTTTCCGTGCTCAGGGGACACAAATTAACATGTTTAGAAGACGAAAAAAATTTTTTTTTTTTTTTTTCTTGCGCACAGGGGTGTAAATGTCCATATGACCCCTGAGCAGTGTAAGGGTTAAGGAGACTTTGCATATAGCCTCATGTTTATGTAAAGCAAATACCCTTCTTGGGAGATTGTGAAAGCCTCTTATTAATCGGCGAGAGCTTCACAAGGTGACGATAAGAACTGGTTATGGTCAAAACCGTTTATCAAACCCGTCTTGTTCAAGTATTCCCCATTCCTTTAATAATGGGAGATAATATAAAGGATGTCCATTTTTCATTTTCTGATTTATTCTACAAACACAAATGAAAACATTTTTTTATTATGAAATTAAAAATGACAAAATAATCACGAAGCTGACACACTACTTTTTTTTAATGTGCATTAAATGTACTTACAGCAAAACGTTATATTTGCACTGTTAAGTCGACTGAATCTTGTACTGTATATCTACCTTACTGTACACCACAACTGAGGTTGCATAATTGCTCAAGAGTTCCTAAAAGTTTCAGAGTCAATTCTGCAGCCATCTATTATTTAAACAGATGTATTTAACAATACACTGCACAAGTTTATGAATGTTGAAAAAGAATATTCAGTATTGTAATTTTAACAACATACCCTCCAATTAATTATTAAATTCACAAAATACAGAAAAAATAATATTTTATCTGTGAAGCTTATTAACATTGCATTTCACTCATTAATAAAAATAGTATCTGCATGCTTACAGAAAAATCATAAATAAAATGAGTAGAGTACAATCTGACATGGTAAATATTCATACAAATTCAAAATAAAAGTGGGTTTAACTAATATCTCAAATGCTCCTTATTTGTCATGTAAAATCCTATATTATTTTTCTGACAAAGGAAATTTAATCAATAATGGTAATTGTGAAAAGTGTAGCAAACAGAGACGTAGCTCAAACACTGCTAATATTCTGTAACAAAGCCAAACACAGTGCTGAAACAGCATTTTTTGGTCAGGGTTTGCATTCCAGCTGTGAAAGCTCTTAAATGCATAAATGTTAATTTATGCATCAAGATATGCATCAAGATATCAAGGTGTGCTAATTTTCACTCTTCCAAAACAAGTAGTTTCATTTAAGATGCTTGGACACAAGACCAATTGCAGTGAAGAAAAATAACAAGGGGTCACTTTATTAACATCAAGAAGTCTTATGTTAGTAAATCACACTAAAAAACAGTGCCTGAATTCAACTTTCAACATTCCCTAATACCTGTATTTAGTAAGTCTTGAGAACAAACAGTGACCTTCACTAACTTAAGAAGTGTGAAGACATGAAGTCCTGTAGAGCCCTGAGGCATGCATAATGTTCGGTATAACCTCCAGCATTTGCTTGGGGAGACGCTCTGCGGACGTGATTCAAATATCCGCCCGCCTCCAATTCATCCCAGGTAGGAGCAGGTAAGGAATTTGCAAGCTTAGGAGGCTCATACTGGTAAAGTTCTTCCTGGAAAATATAAAAAAAAAAAATATTAATGACATAACAAAAATATGAATGAAAAATGTTCACCGGCTATATTAGTCAAGCAAGTGAAAACTAATGAGAGAATATAAACAACTTAAAAACAGCTAAATTAGGACAGCTCTGCTATGAAAAAAAAGCCAAATCTGAATTTTTAGAAATCAAATTTTTCAATACATGATGTTTCTTAATCTTAGATACAGTACATATAAAAACTGAGTAATAACATACTTTCATTAAAATGGGAGCTTTGCCCAATGCAGCAAAGCCAATTTTCACTCCAGATGAGAACTCATTACTCTTAAGATTGGCCTGAGCCATGGCTAGTTCCAGCTCTTTCTTCTTCTTATTTTCTCGCTGCTGTTCTTCCTTCAAGCGGTCAGCATGAGACTGTACGATGAGAGAAGCATCTCCTTCAGAGGCCATCAGATCCTGAAAAAGTCACCATGTACAGTTCTCATGAAAGATGTACCAAAATTAAATTTAGTCTTAAGTTGTGGTTTAATCTTCTGGTTCCAACTTTTTCCTTTTTATATATTATTAAGTACTGTACAAGTACAGTTGTACGTGCTCAGTACTTGACACCCCATGTTCATTCTGTACCATAGATCATTTCCCTAGCACAGTTGGGCAAGGCTAGCCCCAAATGTGAGGCCTCCAACTTGGAACATTCTCTCATTGTATACATATATATAAAGTTGATATGGCATACTGTATTGTACATCATCTCCTATGCAATTACAATACCTTTATCAGATTTGTTTTCGTCCGTTCACGACTTAATTTTGACTTTTCAATTTCTTCCTTTTGCAGTTTTTGTCTCTCTAGTGTTCTCAACATTTCAGCATCCAGGACTCTATCTATCTCCTCCAAATCTCGACTCCTGGAAAATAACACGGAAACAATTTATTGTCTTATTTGATGTGTTCATTTATACAGTTCGGTCAACAAAATATCCTTTAGCCCACACCACAGTCACTTTATTCATCATCCAAGCTCGATCTTCCTTTAACCATACTACCATATTTTAGTATCTAATTTACTTAACCCATTGAATTTTTTTTATATTTAAACTTTACAAACAAATAAACAAATATAACTATACACAATAATCCCATGTACCAAATGTTACCAAGAATAAACCATGAATTAAACCTTATATATGTAGCACACACTTTGCTGTATGATACTTGCAGTTTCGATCATTAAACTTTGGCAACAATGTATCAACAAATTTCAATAATATATGTTACTAACTTAAGTATAGTACAGTATATCTAAACTAACACTATGATGATAGTGCCTTAATGCAACCACTACTATGAATTCACTTACGTAATATTAACAGAAACATGGCTAAGACAAAGCTCAAGCCAGCTACTCACATACTAAGCAATCCATAACTGTAGACCATACCACAGGGGTGGTTGTACTGCAATTTACTCTGACCAGGAATTTAAATCCACCAAAGTTATCAAAACTAAAGACACTTGTGGAGATTATATATATTTTCCAAGGACACTAATGAGCTTACAACTGCCTATCTGTTATGAACCTATGTATCGTTAATTTTTACTAAATTAGTGTATTGGTTTCGGCTAAATGTCACTACAATACTGTGCTGTCCATCTGCAAAAAATGGATATCAACACTTTTCTATTATATACTTTAATAATGTTGTGTTCTCCCAGGCTTTTCCTTCCTTGGAGACAATGTCTACAAAAATGCAAACAAGCCACTAATCCTGAAAGCATAAAATGCCCTTGTGATATACTTATGAACACGTTTAAATTTAATGACTTACTTTTTTATATAGTTCTTCCTAATATCATTTTTGTGCATTCGTTCATAATTTTCTACCTTTTTCTCCATCTCTGCACGATTGATGTCATTAGTCATATTGTACACGATTTCCTCTATCTCCTCCAGGTACTTGTTCCATTCTTCAAGTGAGGAAAAGTCATCTTCAGTCATGTTATACACCTTCATTACCTGAAACATTATATCACTAGGTAATTTAATCTTAAAATCTTTCCTATGGCAGCAAAATTGTTTATTTTCTAATCTTTCATATTTACACCTACTGTCTTGTACGTCCCTATCAGAAAGCTTTACTTAACCGAGATTTATTTATAACAGGTATATATTTCAAAATTACCCTTGGCTAACATACTCTGTCATAAGTATGATGATGATTATTTCCGATGAATTCTTATAACATTTGCTTTTGATGTTTCCGATAGGTAGCAAAATGAGTTAAATAATGCTTGGATGTACGATAACAGCCAAGTGGCTTTTATCAACACAACAATGTACATAAGATAAAAATATACATTATTTAATAATAAATGAGTGGTCAATATTATGAATGGGACAGGTAAACTTCTTACATGCTCTTTAGCATATTTCACCTCAGACACATCAGTGATAAAAGCTACTAAAATGGCCTAATAATGCTGTAGACATACCTTTCTGCGTATATCAATCTCTTTCTCAACCACTGGGTCTTCAAACACCTGCACTCGAAATTTTGATCGTTTAAGAACCATACCACATTCACTGCACTGACCAGATTCTGCAATGAAGGTAAGATTTATAACAAAAAATAATAATTCTCGAGACTTCCTACATTTTCTGTTATAAAAAACAACTATTTTTAAAAAGAGTGGTTTTGTAGGAGAAAACAAGACTTTCTGTATGTAAATACAATATATATTTGGTTGGTGATGGACAAAAAACATACATTTTATCTGCAGGTAAAATCAGTATATTTTGGTATGGTATTTGGTGATAAAAATCAGTATATTTATAATGGTGCCTTCATTCGAACGGTATACATATACAGTACATTATAAATTAATTATAAATGTCAACATATTAAAATATTAGGAATAATGGAGGTCATTCATAGCAGCAATAAGTAGTGTAGTTCTGCACAGAATTTTGAGAAAAATCAATTATATATAAAATTATAATATATTGAAATAGCTCAGAGACCCATAGCTGAACAAGTTATGAAGGTAACAGTGTATAGCACAACCCCCAACTCATTCAAGGTTATACTATGGGGGCCTGACAGCTGAGTGGATAGTGCTTCAGATTCATTATCCTGAGGTTCCAGGTTCGATTCCCAGTGGAGGCGGAAACAAATGGGCAGAGTTTCTTTCACCCTGTTGCCCCTATTACCTATCAGGAAATAGGTACCTGGGAGTTAGATAGCTGCTACAGGTTGCTTCCTTGGGGTGTATAACAAAAACAAAAAGCAGGCCTGGGGGGACCGGGCCATGGGGGACGCTAAGCCCGAAATCTTCTCGAGATAGATTACAGTTACTTTAGAAATGAATTAACAGGGAAATAAGTACACACTTGGTTCTATATAGCACTAGCCAGCAGGATGCTTGTATGAGAGAAAAACTTGTCAGATAAAAAAAAATAACTATATATATTTTATAATAAATATAATACAGTAATAATAATAATGTTTAAACAAAATACATAGAGGGAGTTTGATTACAGGAAAAATATAGTATGTACAGGTTCACTTTCTTTTCAAATACAGTAGCTTTCTACCATGGGGGAAAATATTAAAAAATTTAAATATTAAATACTGTACAGTACTAGGATTACCTGAAAGTAAAATATGTAACTTGCACAATGTAAGAGCCAACTAGACTGCAAAATGATAATAGTAAAAAAAAAATAGTAGCAGTAATTGTGGTGGTGTTAATAGTGATGGTGGTTGGAGTAAAAGTGGTGCTTGTACTGATGGTGGTACAGTATGTCAGTTTCATGTCAGTTTCTCACCTTTTATGAAGTACATTTTCACACAAGAATCGCACAGTGGATGGCCGCACACGTTAACCATCAGTTTCATCTGTGGGTTACGATACTTTGTACATCTACATGCCGGACACTGGATCTCAAACGATGCATCGTAATAGTCCCCCATCTTGTAACCTGGAAAATATAAAGAGCACTATGAATTTGTTGTAATTTCCTTTTGAAAATTATATTTCAAGAGGTAGAAAGGAATAGCAATTTCATGTGTTTTGTTTGCATGGCTATGAATAGTTCCCAATGAAAATTTGGAACTATTCCCAATAACCAATGACATTATAGGAAAATGTAAATACTGAATACCGTTTTGGAAATCAGAAAATAAGCTGTCGAAAAGTATTGTGTATCATTTGGCCACACCCCACCTTCCCTAGTGAGCCGTGTGGATAAAGTTTATATATTCCACCACAAAAAAAAACTAACAGCTGGTGGAAAAACTAACAACTAGTCATGTTTTAAAATTAATAAATTATTAAATTAATAATTATATACATATAATTTATTATTAAATATAGTTGAAAGTTAACAAATTACTAATACCTTGGGTATCAGGATAAATGGGTTAGTGTTCCCGGGTTTCCCAGACCACTATCTCTCTAGTGGCCTAGACCAGGACAGGAAGCCGGCGGCTTGTCAAAGGTTCTCACCTGATGATTTTTGTCTAACCGGATTTTAAAAAATCTACCAGTAACCTTGCCAAGGCTACTAACAATGCACCTGATTCATGCGCTGACAGATTATTTATATTATAAAAACGTATCGCATTTGGCCACGCAGGAAGGCATTTACACACCTACTATCGTAAACACTCGCCGTAGAGTGGTAAATAACTTCAGAGATGCGAGGAGGAGACGAGAGGCCCCGTGTTGTTTTGGTGGTCGTCTCTGGGGACTACGACCTCATCACTATCTTAGGCGACAATTTGAGTGTTTCTTATTAAATAAGCTTTGATGTGTCGGTTACTAGTGTTTTATCATATTATTGTGTGTTGTAGTGATGCCATTTATCGGTTGAATGGGGTTCATTGGCGCATACGAGCGTAATACATTTTGGGTGCGTTGCCAATCATTTGATGTCGCTCAATGGCTCAATTAACCAATAACCAATGACTTTATTCAGAAATAGTTGCGCATAAATATATTACTAATAACCATTAAATATATCTAGATTGGTATTATATACTTTCACACTAGGGACGGTTGAGGGCTGATATTAATTGACAACTGTAAAATACTGAAATATTTGTATAATTTTTACTTGAGTTTATCAGAGATCCACTAACACCAGTGGCCTCGACGTGGACAGGAAGCCGGCTGCTTATCAAAAATCCCCCATAAATTGCCTCGATAATTGCCTATTTAAAGAGACCACTTCTTTAAAAGGTCAAATATAAGGACAAACGGATTCAAGCTCAAGAAGCCACATTGTAAAACAGAAAATAAGAGGTTTTTTTTTCACCTATAGAGTTACAACCCACGGAGCGTCACTGAGCCTGAAAATGGTCACACATTACTGATGAAGTATGGATTTTCCTGGTGGATAAAATCATCAGGATAAATGGTGGTTGGTGGAGGGAGCTTTGAAAAACCGCCGACTTCTGGATCAACCTAGGATCTGCGGATTGGTACAAGAATTCAACCAACTACGAACCACTTAGTTTGATGAAAGGGAGCAGTACAACAACAGAAGTACACTTATATCGCATCAGGCTTGGATACCCATGTGCATGGGAAATAGGCTTACAGGTTCCGGAAGATGAGAGGAAATGTCAGCACTGTGGAGAAAAGCCCGATAGACCACTGGAACATTATCTAACACAGTGCACAGTTACAAACCCATTAAGATTTCAACTTAGATTCAACAGAGGAGAAGAAGTTGTTAAACACATGGGGTAAAATCTTACTGAAGCGACCATATAAGTCATAGATACTCATACTCGGTCCAAGTGGCCAGCCAGAGGCTTAGGGCCCGCGCAGGAATACTGCAAAAAAAGTGACATGTGACTATGTAGATACATTTAATACTGTTTCAATATTCCCTATGTAATGCCTTTCATCCAGTACCTCTTGATATTCCTCAAATTTTACCATAATGTACCTGCAAATTTTCTTAAAATTTTCTTACAATGAACCTGTTAACATTTTTTCAGTTTTGCTACAAATTACCTACTCAAAATTATGTTAGATTAAGGACCTGCCCGAAACGCTATGCGTGTTAGTGGCTTTACAATAATATTAAAACATCAATTCTATGTACTCTCATAAACTCAATGTTCTTGCTTGTATATATATATAAATAAATATGTCTACCTTAGCATAATCAATAGAAAACCAGATTTTTCGTTTTCTCTAATGTTAAAAGACTAACTTTAATAAATGTCATCAGAAATTATCTTTTTCATGATTTATCTTTATTTATTTACATGAAAGTACAGCGAGTTATATTTTTTTAAATTGTGATGCGTAGATAGTACATTCTTGAAAAGTCAATAATTATTTGTATGTAAAAAATATTAGCAATCACTGATTACAATTATCAATTAGTCCTGCGACAGAAGAGAGGATTGATCGAGTGATGAACATTAAGCCACCCAAGAGGTGGCACGGGTATGAATAAGCTGTATAACAAGAGAGGAAGGGACAAGCAAATAAATAAGGTAGGAAAGTGAGATAAGAGGAGAGGAGCAAGTATGAGATAAAGGTAAGGCGGTGTTCTTGAACATTATAGAGTGGTCTCTTAAATTCATGTACTTTTTCGCACACCATCACATAGTGACGGAAGGTGTGCGAATAATTTCACTGTCACAGTTTACATTTGGTCACAGGTGTAAGTTTACATTTGACATAGCCTAAGCCGAGTAGTAGTAACATCTAGGAGTCTGCTCATTTTATAGGATGATGTGAGGCTTTTCTTGCATGACAGAGTAATGTGGATGGAATTACGTCTAGTGTAGATTTCACTTTGCCTCAAATCTATAAGGTTATGTTGAATTTCTTAATGTACTATTGTTCTCAGACTGCTTATAGGGAATTCAAGGTTAAAATCAACTCCTTCTTTCGATGGCAGACTCTCTAGTTAATTCATCAGCTCTATCATGCATTCGGATCAACCCCTTCTGTTACATATAAGTTTGCAGATGATCAACGGTAACATTGGAAGGGAAAACGATATTGAGTCGTTGCAAAGAAAGCGACACAAACAAAGCAAGGCCTTGTATGTTGGAAATAACAGTACACAACATAACTATCATATGAACAACACGATTGTGCACCAAAATGATGAAGAAAAGTACCCAGAAGTTATGATCCAATCATTGAAATTTGCTAGAAAATTAAGAGGTGAGGTAAAAAGAAAAAGAGGGGCAAGCAAGCCTTAAGAATAATCAGACGTACATTTGACTTCATTGAAAAGAAAGTGGTAACTCAGCTATACAAATCTCTGGTGCGTCTCTCCCCCCCCCCCCCCCCCCCCCCGCCCCTTTCCAACTCAAATACTGAACCATAGAATGTTGACCTCACTTACAAAAAGACAAAAACTAGTATCCGAGCTGAGAGGTATGAGCTACGAGGAGAGACTACAGGAATTAAACCTCACTTCGCTGGAAGACAGAAGAGTTAGGGGGGCCATGATCACCACATTCAAGATTCTGAAGGGAATTGATAGGATAGATAAAGACAGGCTATTTAACACAAGGGGCACACGCACAAGGGGACACAGGTGGAAACTGAGTGCCCAAATGAGCCACAGAGATATTAGAAAGAACTTTTTTTAGTGTCAGAGTGGTTGACAAATGGAATGCATTAGGAAGTGATGTGGTGGAGGCTGACTCCATACACAGTTTCTAGTGTAGATATGATAGAGCCCAATAGGCTCAGGAATCTGTACACCTGTTGATTGACGGTTGAGAGGCGGGACCAAAGAGCCAGAGCTCAACCCCCGCAAACACAACTAGGTGAGTACAACTAGGTGAGTACACAAGGCACAACAGCTTAGTGCTCAAGAAGCCACTATGTAGGAAAACCCAGAAGATTCATCTTTCACCAATAGCATCATAAACCCATGGAATCGCCTAGTCACTGAAACCATAAATGAATATTTCCGTTTAAAATTCAGGTGGAAAAAATCACGAGGCCTAATGGGGACCATTGAGAAGCCCCCGGCTTCCTGTCCCCGTCGAAACCATTAGATGTGGCCATGAGATAAATTCACCAAGAGAAATATTACTAATACATCTATGGATCATCCAATGTCAGCAGACTTCTATAGACGTTACCCCTGCAAGGCTTAGGCTCCGCTACATTAAGCACCTCTGGGAGTTTTCACCACCAGCTGATGTAAACTTGAACGAATGTAAACTCTGTAGGCTGAAATATTCACATACCTTACGTCACTATAGAAATGAATGTGAAAAAAATACAAAAATATAGAAATCAAGAAATAAGTTTGAATTTCATTCGGAGAGATATATCAGCAGAAATCTTAGCCAAATATCCCAAGTTTGCTTACTGTAGGAAGTGCATGCACTTCATTGTACCCCCTTCCACCTCGTGAGTAAGCAAATCCAAATTATGTGTAAATAACTCGCCTCAAATGTAAATTCTTTAGCTTACAGATTGGCGTAGTCCAATTCTTGGCACCTTTATGCCACAAAAGACTGCTGTTTATATATATATATATATATATATATATATATATATATATATATATATATATATAGAGAGAGAGAGAGAGAGAGAGAGAGAGAGAGAGAGAGAGAGAGAGAGAGAGAGAGAGAGAGAGAGAGAGAGAGAGAGAGAGAGAGAGAGAGAGAGAGAGAGAGAGAGAGAGAGAGAGAGAGAGAGAGACACAGACACAGACACAGACAGACACACACCCAACATTATGGGATAGCCCCATAAAGACTGCCACACAATGCTTGAAAACGCAGATGTTGGAAAAAAAAACTCGCCTCCTATCGATAACAGCTCCCCATGCCGGGGACTTTTTATTTGCTGTGCCCAATGCAGCCCTGGGAACTCGCCTCAATCATAACGCTCTCGGCATTGGAATTGCCCTTCGCTTGGCGCCCTAATCCTCACCGAACATAGGTGCATCTGCAGAATTGCGATGGCAGACCAATATGGTCGTCATGGTCTTGTATGTTTTAAATCACAGGATAAGATTGCAAGACGTGAAGTCAACGACATCATCAAGAGGAGCCTCGCCACGGCCTGCTGCCCAGCACAAAGAGAACCATACTTATTCAGACCCAGCAAACCTCTGATGCACCCAGATGGGGTCACCTTGCTTCCTTGGAAGGATGATAGGCAAGTGGTGTGGGACTACACATGCGCTTCCACACTGGCCAGTACTTACCGCCACTCCAGCACACGTGAAGGGGGTGGCGCTTCTTCTTTCAGGTAATAGCAGAAAACCATCAAATACAGAGGTCTGGCACACTGCTACAGCTTTGTTCCGATCGGTTCGGAGACCCTCGGTTCGTGGGGGAAATATGCATTGAAGTTCTTGAAAGAATTGGGGGACAAATTGATTGGCGCTACAAAATACCAGAGAGCGAAAAGTTTCTTGTTCGAGCGCCTCAGTGTCGCGATTCAGAGGGGAAATGCCTGTTGCGTCTTGGGCACGAGTCCAACTTCGGAGGAATTCGGAGTGTTTGACTTGCAATGATGATCGAATCTGTCCGTGACATTTATTCATGTTTCCCATTGGCGTGTTTTTCATTTTACTTGTATTGGTTGTGTTGTGTATGTGTTAAGGCCACATTTTGTAATTATATATATATATATATATATATATATATATATATATATATATATATATATATATATATATATATATATATATATATATATATATATATATATAAAAATCGAAACATATCTTCAACAGACACAAGTTCAATCAAACAATGGATATGTAGTGAATAATAAATGAACTTAGCCAATCTTTCAATTATGTTCCGCATTCATTGTGGACAGTTGAAGAGCCTGCTAACATGAGTCTGAGATTGTCTGTTCTTGTACCAAGAGCTCAAACTTGAATAGAGAGAGTATAAGGATATTTATAATGGGGTTGATGCTCTGTTTTAATGGTTAAGTAAGGACATGTGGAAGCTTTCAACACTTACTGGGGAAAAATTGCAGTTTTATGTGGTGGCAGGTGTTGCTATTAGTATCCTTGGGGAGAGAGAGACAGAGAGAGAGAGAGAGAGAGAGAGAGAGAGAGAGAGAGAGAGAGAGAGAGAGAGAGAGAGAGAGAGAGAGAGAGAGAGAGAGAGAGAGAGAGAGAGAGAGAGAAACAGAGACAGAGAGATGAGGCAAAACATGAAGCTAATTCCCCGAAACCCTTATCAATAGAGAAAACATCTTCAGCTCTTGCATAGTTGGCAAATGCCAGAGCCAGGATTCGTCAAGACTTTACATGTCCACTTACGAAACCCGTTCATCTTTTATAAGTCATAGCTGCTTAGTTTGCAGTCAAACTAAGTGTGTTAAGTTACGAAGAAATGGCCACACTGCCTATCCCCCATCCCCCCTTCCTATCTTCATCTCATTCTCCCTCCTCTCCCCATCCAAATTCATCCTCATCCCCCCACCCCCCACCCCCCCTCTCCCTCCACCTGTTGCGGCAGAGTAAGTCCACTTTACGACCAATAAATGGGCGTATATTTAGCCAAAATTCCCCTCGTTCGAACCAGTAATGCCCTCGAGACAGGTGGGCCAGAGACAGGTGGGGGAGGGAGGGTAAATGGGGGAAAAGATTGAGTAAAATTGGCGTGAGGGAACGAGGAAACAGGAAGAGGAAAGGCATGAGAACTCATACCGGACGGAGGAGTTTTTTTCTCACAAGTGTTGAGCGTGTTTGACACTAGGAGCATATGTAAGGGAGAGGAGCATGTGCAAGAGAGGAGATGCCTGTAGCTACGAGGTTCATGGAACACAATTAGCATAGTTTTCTATTTTGGAATGGGAAAAGGCTAGTTATACTTGCAGCGTAGAAAACACAACCTAGCCTAAATAAACCTATACTAGCCTAACCGAACTTAACCTAACCCAACCAAGCTGAGCCTATCCTTCTTCTTGAGGTTATCTTGAGATGATTTCGGGGCTTAGTGTTCCCGCGGCCCGGTCCTCGACCAGGCCTCCACCCCCAGAAAGCAGCCCGTGACAGCTGACTAACTCCCAGGTACCTATTTACTACTAGGTAACAGGTGCATCAGGGTGAAAGAATCTCTGCCCATTGTTTCTCGCCGGCGCCTGGGAGCACATGATCACGCGTCCAGTGTTCTGTCCGCTCAGCCACCGGCTCCTAACCTAACCTAGCTAACCTTACCTAATCCTAACCTAATCTAGCTAACCAAACCGAAGCTATTAGGATTAATAGCAGGATTACTTGTATAATTGCAGAAATTACTTGTTTATTAGCAGGATTAGTTGTATAATGCCAGGGATTACTTGCTTGAGCATAATTAGTTGTATAACAACAGGGATTACGTGTTTAATAGGAATTTCCTGTTTAATAGCAGCGATTAGTCGTTTAATAGCAGGATTACTTGTATAGTAGAGGAGATTACTTGTTTATTAGCAGGATTACTTGTATAATTTCAGGGATTATCTGTTTAATAGCAAATATTACTTGTTTATAGCAGGATTACTTGTATAATTGCAGAATTAGTTGTATAATAACAAGGATTACCTGTTAAATAGCAGGGATTACCTGTTTAATAGATGAGATTACCTGCTTAATAACAGACATTACTTGTTTAATAGCAGGATTACTTGTATAATAGCAGGATTACCTGTTTAATAGCAGGGATTACCGGTTTAATAGCAGGGGATTACTTGTTTAATAGTAGGATTACTTGTATAATAGCAGGATTACTTGTATAATAGCAGGGGACTTCTTGTTAAATAGCAGGACTTACCATCCCTCCCCGAGGCCACCTGTTGACCTTCTTCAGTAAGAATATTAGAAAGAATACTTGTGAGAATACTAGAAAATAAACTAGCAAAAATAAGAGGAAGAACACTAGCAAGAACAGTAGTAGGAATTCTTGAAAGAATACTTGAAATATATAAGAAATCTAAGACCCAGAACTGTAAAGAAATACGCTACCATCAGCAGATACATAGAGAATTATGTAAACAAAAACATAGAAGGCATAGATGTAACTTAGGTAAGTTGATAATAGGTATTTGTCCTTGTACCACCGACGCCGACTTGTTCTGTTCTAACTGTAATATCTCCTTTAAATTAATCTTATATGCTCTGCCGAAAAATCCGTTTTCTAGATTTGTATTATTATACTTTGCATTAAAATATAATGCATATTCGTGTATTCGTTTGACCAGAAATTAATGTTTTTGTTCCGGGTTTTGAGGTGGTCGTATCTCGTTTAATTTTGCTCTAACAGCGTTGATATTGAAAATTCACAACAAAAGGCTTTACCCAAAAAAATGCAACAGGGTGCGGTAAATCCATTGGGCCTATTTTGAAATTGATTCTATGGCTGGTTTAGAAGTTGACTTTTGAGAAAAATGACGATTTCGCCCGGCCGGTCGTTGATGTCGGTACACAGTGGAAAAACACCATCCGTCACCTGGGTTTGCCGATATATTTTCGTTTATAACGGAAACCC